ATTTATTAATCGCGCGTGTGGTGGCGCGCCAGACAACCATCCAACCAATCACTTATCCGGCCGTCCCAAGACATCCCCAGCCCCGAAGAAGCGACGAAAAAGATGAAGAAGCAAGGGTACTGATGCAATTTTCCACCGATCCCGATTTCCCGTAGTTGGCCCAATCTTCCCAGCTTAGGACCCCTCGTTGCAACCGCGCAGAAACTCGCGTGTTACAGAAAGTGGTTCGTCACACCAGAGCACCGTGGCTCTGAGTGTTTCATATAGATACACCGGGGGCTTAGAAAGCCTCAGTACCACTGTGCCTTATAAGATAGATGCAATTGACCACATATCTCCCCATTGCAAAGGCAATGGGGAGTGCTCATTAAAATGTGCCCAAACATCTCTGACATTTATGCATGAGGTCCATATATGATGTTGGTCTTCCACAATGTGTGGGATTGAACATGCTTTACAGGGCCGAGGTCCCACTAGCAAAGAGGATCGGATCGAATGCCTGAATCTGGATGTGTTTTATTCAGAGATGCAGAAAAGCCGTTCAATCTCGATTTCCTGCACATTTCCACAACTTCGTCCAGATTCAGGCGTTCGATCCGATCCTCTTTGCTAGTGGGACCACGCCCCAGAAAGGCGAACCCTGTTTTCGACGGCGATACAGAAATGCAGCAGGAAAAAAAAAAAAAAAAAAAAAAAAGAGAAAAGAAAGAAAGAAAGAAATGCAGCAGTAGGAATGGCATTGTGCAGGATTTGCCAGAGCAGGCCAGCATGTTTGGCTACCCGCAAAGAAGGGAGCAGTTGCCAAAAAACCGTTAGCCTATCAGTCTGCAGAGTATATCCAAGTGTTTGCCATTTTTCAACAATGCCCCAGTAGACATCCACTTCCGGTAAGAGCATCAAATATGCCAGTCTGACAGAATGCTGTGTTAGTGTTATAGCACTGTCTGGAGCCTCCGCAACTTTCGGGATGAGTCGTTTTCAATATTTTTGTTCGCCTGAGCCGTGCACTTGGTATTTAACGCAAAAGCCTATCTCAGTGAGTACACTCGTGAACTATTGAAACACAGTTCCAAGTTCGAATCCCAATGAGGTACTTGATGAGCAACAATATCTTTTGTTTGATTCCAAACAAGGAAGGGAATTCGTGGTAGCCTCCCGAGCTTACCGCACATTCCCACCCTCAGCGGCCTGACAAATGGGGACAGAAATAGGTACTTCGGGGAAATGAGATCGGGTACCGGAGTGTGAGCGTGCCCTGACTGTAATTACGGCAAGACCTGATGGATCGGACCATCTGACCACAATCACGTCCAGGAGCATGGTTCCACTACCCGTAGCAACGGGTGGATCAAGATCCTGAATGTGGGCATGTTTTAGGCAGAGATGCAGAAAAGGAGTTCAATCCATTTTCTGCGCTTGTACTCCAACGCGGCCAGATTTAGGCGTTTAATCCAATCCTCTTTGCTAGTGGGACCTCGCCCCAGAGCTTAGTACAACACAAAAAGTCCTAGTGTGAGTACGCCCTGAAAGGCGTAGCGGGTCCTTCGGGACAGCATGGCCCCTGCGCAAGGATGACACGCATACATCTTTTTTTTTAATTATATATACTCAAACAATTCCTTAAATTCCAATGTCAAATTTGAGGCCAAGGACCTCACAATTCCACCCGGAGTTATCCTGGCAGCATCAGCCAGTTTAGCTTACAGTCGACAGACTGCGAAGAACCATGCTCCACTCAAATATTTCTTCCTGAATCAACTTCACAAAAACTTGTTCTTGTCTGCAAACTACAACATAACTTTACCTCTCACTTGTTCTTGACACGCATAAATCGAGAAATGGTCCAAATAGAAGAATAAAAAAAGAGAAAAGAAAAAGAAAGGCGTAGCGGCAGTATAAAGAGAGACCGAAATATGCGATTTTGTTCGCTGACCGACATTCGTCGTGATAGCGCGGGCTTGCATGTCTTCCATGTCAGTCCTGTCTTTTTCGGTTGTTTGACCAAGATGAAGGAATCTGTGTGAGTGCTGAATCTCGTCATCCTCCAGTTTCAACGAAACGACAGGGAAAACGGATTACGTCCTTCGGGACATCCGTTAAAATTGGAACGATCCAGAGAAAGAAAAGATTAGCATGGCCCCTGCGAAGTTAAGGATGACAGGGAAAACGGATTAAGTTGTCGGAGAAGTGGGGAATAGGGCGAGAGTACTGCGTGGGAGAAGTGGGAAGTAAGGCGGGAGAAGGGGCAGCGGCGAGGAGGTAGGGGCAGCGGCGAGCGAGGAGGGATACAGATCGCACAGTTGCAGTGTCAGAGGGAAGAAGCTGGCGTGAGGGGAGGCTATGCCTTCGACAAATCGTGTGACCGGCTACGTGGCATGAGGTAGGACTGCTTTTTTTTTGTTTTTGTTTTTTACTCTTTTCTCTCGTTCGTTCCCTCCTCCTTTTCTCGGCTCGGCTGTCTCCCTCCTCCTCCCGCTACCGGCAGTCGGCATGGGAATGGGGAGCGGCTGCAGAGACCAGGATTCGTCTACGTGCTTGAAGCCTGAGTGCGTTCATGCGCGTGTCTGTGCGTGTGTGCCCGTGCCCGCCGCCCCCCCGCCTTCTCTCTCTGTTTGCGTGTGCTCGTATCTGTGCGTGAGTTCGTGTGTGTGTCTGTACGTGTGGCCGTGCTTCTCTCTCTCTCTCTCTCTCTCTCTCTCTCTCTCTCTCTCTCTCTCTCTCTCTCTCTCTCTCTC